TGCTGAGATCGCCATGTGAAGAAACCTGGGCTCTCTCCTAGAGGGTGAGGGACCACACCATCCTAGACACTGCAGCCTTCTCAGCTGAGACACCAGATGTGTGAATGAAAACATCCTAGACCACCCTGCTGAGCAGCCCAGACCAGAAAAACCACCCAAACCATCCAAAAAATCATGAGAAATGAATCATGGTTGTTTAAAGCCACAATTTGTGGGATAGTTTGTTACACAGCAGAAACCGACTGATACACTGAGCTCCCCACCACCGTAGCTTCCACTTGTCATGTCCCTTGGTCAGAGTCTCTATTTCAGTGACACCCCCCCCCCCGACTCCTTCATTCTTCTAGGACTCTCTCACCCCAGCCTTATTACAGGAGTGGAGTCTCCCAGTGAACTCTAGTCAATGGACAAGACTGCATTGTAACAACTCTTTATGGTTTGAAATGCACTTCTACATCCATGACTTTCCCCATCCCTACTACAACTCTGAAAGAGAGACATCATTATCCCCACTTTTCCAAAGAAATAACTAAAGCTCAGAGAGGTTGTCAGACATACTAAAATCACACAGCCAACCAAGGACTCTTCTGACTCCAAACCCCATGTTCTGTCTACCTTGTCTCATGTGGATTAGATCACAGGCCCCCCAGCTGGCAGATGTCTCCACTGGTAACAGTTTGCCAGAATTTCTGAATGTCAGCTGACTTGGATTCCTCACCTTCGACTTGCCTGTTGTTGGAACACCTGCTAGGGATCCAAGTCGGCCCTCCCCTATGTCACCCGCCTGCTAAGGCTGCCACCTGTTGTCTGCAGCCAAGCCCCTGGATTTATGACCTGTCGGCCAGATTTGATTTCCCTCCAGAGCCTTTACTCTCTGGGTTCGTCCCCTCAGGCCCCGCCCCTCCGTCCCAGATCTACTCAGCCCAGCCCCTCCCAGGCTGTCTGCCACATCCCCAGAGGGGACAGGCAAGCCCCACCCCATAGGGGAAGGGGCGGGGGCTTAATAGCTACCACACGAAGTTCCAGCTTGTTTATGGGCCACTTTGCCAAGAGAACCAAGTTTTTACAACTGGCTCTTTGATCCGAGCCCTTTTGTCTGGTAAGTTGGAAATGTATCTCTGTATGCAAGGCCATTAAAATTGTGAGAAGGAATAAGAAATAGGTCCTGTTGTCCAAAGCAGGTCATGGGGTCAAGCCCAGACTGAAGAATGGAGAAGCTCTGCCACTCGATGAGACAAGTGACAAAGTTCCATTGCAAAGGGTCACACGTACAGGGATGGGAAGGATTCTTACTGAGCTCAGACAGGCCTTTATGGAGATGCACTTCTTGTCTGTCTCACAGCTCAGTGGAGAGAAGTCACAGGGTCCTCTTGGCCTGTCAGCCTCGTACTGGGGGGTCTCAGAGTTGAAGAAAGGTCCACCTTATTCTCTGTTGTGCTTTATGCATCTGGAACCATCCTGGGAATCTCTTGGGAGGAAATTCTGACCAGCTTATCCCCCAAAAACAAGTCTGGAGAAGGGAGTTTATGTTTCCAGTCTGATACGGTTCGTCGGTAACTTCTCAGGTAGGCTGTACCGTGACACCCCAGGGCGACAGACTTGGACTCCATCTGGAGAACAAACTATCTGACCGCTCACTCCCATAGCCCTAGCACTGTGCCTGGTACTCAGTAAGCACGCAATGGATATTCGCTGTATCAGTGATGGCTGACCGGGTGAGTGATGGGAAATCATACAGCCAGCCGTCTGTATGGCCGTCTGGATCGTCTGGAGGGCCGTCTCGTGGATCAGACAAAGACACCGAAGAAGGACGTTAGCAAGGGCAATCATGCTTCAGAGGGACCTTCTAACCCCGAGATTCTGCTATCCTAAAAGCTCTCGATTTCATTGGCTGTCTCACTGTAGAAGCAACAGCTAACGTGACCCAGAGGGGACAACGGTCTAAAAAATCCAACTCTGAAATTGGCTTTGGCAGGTTACAGGTGTTGAGGGTCAAAATGTGCATATTCAGCAATGCCACTGCCAAGTGTCCACCCTAGAGAGACTCACACATGTGCAGAAGCAGCTGAACGTGAGGACACGCACCGCAGCGCTGTCCTTAGTAGAAGAAAGTCAACAACATCACACCTTTTCTCAGTAGAACCGATAAATAAATACACCAGGCTCTATCTCATAAACTGGAATAACACACAACAGAGAAGGAGACACAGAATCTGAAGGAGGATCCAGGCTCTCAGCTGTCTGCACAGAGCCCACACGGCAGCGCTTGAACTCACGAGCTGTGAGATCACGACCTGAGCCGAGATCAAGAGTCGGACACTTAACCGACTGAGCCACCCAGGGGCCCCTACGACAACATATTTCTTGGAAAGAAACAACAAGCACTAAAGAAAACAGGGCCAGCACTCACGACCTGGAGATAGGTACTTACACAGCTGTTGGGTTTAACTCCTACACCCTTTGTATTCATTCATTCAGCAAATATTTAGTGACCACCTACTGTATGCTAAGGGCTGTTCTGGGCTCTGGGGATGCAAACAGAAGGACACCCCTGCCCTCCGGGACCTCACATTCTCTTTGTTGCAAACATGCGTGATGCCTTGTTTTTATTTTTTTCAATGCTCATTTATTTGTTTATTTATTTAATTGGGGGGGGGGGGAGGGCAGAGAGAGACGGAGAGAATCCCAAGCAGGCTCTGCGCTGTCAGCACAGAGCCTGACAAGGGGCTCAATCTCACGAACCATGAGATCATGACCTGAGTCGACATCAAGAGTTGGACGCTTCACTGACTGAGCCACCCAGAAGCCCCTTCCTGTTTTTACTTTTAATACACGAATACAGTCCTTGACCATTGAACGAAAAGCAACCGGCCTTTTCTCCAATTCCCCCCAGTCTGCTCACTTTTCTCCTCCCCAGAACATCCCACTACTGACCATTTCAGCCCTTGCCCCCTCCGTGGTTAGCAACCTCCCCAGGTCTTCATACGGAACGTTCCACATGACCAGGCTCTGTCCCCAGGGCACAGTGTCCCCTGAGTAGCTCTCTCCCTCCAGTGGGGCCTGGTCCCTCCCACACCCCATGCTGGAGCCAGCCACGGCTGTCCTGTGTCAGAGTCCCCATCCCTACCCTGAGGAAAAGCCACCACCTGGCTGTACCGCCCTCTACCGCTGTCTCAACAGCATCATTGCCACACTCCTGGTCACTCCATCGCCATTCCTTGAAACCCTGGGCCTGCCTCGGTCTTCTCCCACCCCAATGCCTGTCGTACCCTAGATTCCCACCCCACCCCCACACAAACCTTTCCTTTCTGAGCCTCTTCAACATCAATGACCTCCCCATCCACTGCAGCCACATCCTAAATTGTCGTGTAACCCCCTAGAGCTGTGCTTCTTGGAAATCTTTCACCTCCCGCCTCCCTCTCTCTAATCTCTGCCTTCTCTTCTAGTTATGCACTCTCTCTCCAAACACTCTATGACCTCAGAGAGCCCCCAGGCCTCCATCTTGTCCCTTCCTCCCCGCTCTCCCAGTCTGGGCCCCAGAAGTGATGCTCTGAGTCCCTCCCTCTCACTGGTCCCCTTCACACTGCCCCCCTGCATCCCAGCCTCCACAGCCCACAAGACCGGGACCAAAGCCACCCCCTTTCCTCCTGGCATCCCGGGACTGAGCCCACCCCCACCCCGAAAGTCCGGCATCTGCCACGGGCAGTCTGGGGCCCTGTCAATCCTGCTCCCTGGCTTTAGTGGGGACCCCTTGCCCTCCCTTCAGCGATTAGTCAAATCTTCATCTCCAAATCCCCCTGCTCCATCCGGATCCCTAATTTCCAGCAGACCACTGCCCCCCGCTTCTCTGAAAACCCTGAGCAATCAGACATGATTCTCTGCAACTCCGCTACCTCTTCCCCAGGAGACGGGGCGCCCTTCTACCCCCCCACACCTCAGCTGAGGGCACCACCAGCCTCTTACTTCCCTTATGCAGAATCCTGGGTGCCTTGCAACCTCCACCCCTCACCTTCCACACCCAAACACCAAACGCTGTCAATTCACTTCCTCAATAATTCTTTCCTCTTTCCCTCCCTCAAGCCCTGTTACTAGAGGTCTAGTTCACAGCCATCTCCAACTCAGGTCTTTCCAGCTCCAGCCTTGACCCTCCAACCATCTTCTACATGGCTGCCAGAGGAGATGCTCCTAAAATGACCATGTGCCATCAAAACGCCCTTGCTTAAAACCCACAAAAGGCCCCATGTCACTCACAGGACATCACAGGACGAGGCCCAAGTCCCCAGCACAGCCCCCGGGGCCTGCCACAACCTGTCAGCATCTCGGCAGCTTACACTCTCTGTCTTGCACCCGAAGCTCAAGCCTCACACCGACACTCACAGTCCCCCGCATACTTCTGGCTTTTTCTCACTTCTGTTTCTGCTCAAGCTCTTCCCTTGTCCCCAGATGCCCTCTCCCTCCTCTTTGTTCTTCCAGACTCAGCTCAAGTGGCCCTTCTTCCAGGAAGCCTTCACTGGCTACATCGGGCCAGGTTAGGCATCTGTCCTTATATTCCCCACACACCTAGTGCATCTGCCTCTATCACGGCCATTACCAACGCGTTTCATGACTTTCTGTCTTAGTGAGTTTCTCCCCCACCTGATGTGTGGCAGGTGGCTTTAAAAAAGACACCTGCACAAAATGCTCGAAGGCAGGGAGAGACAGGCAGGATGAACTCTGGAGATTCCAATGCACAGACGTGCCCACCCCTCGGCAGACGCACCCTCCACAAGCTGGCGGTCACATCTGCCCACATGGGCCTGTCCACGCTCTCACCAGCCAGGCACGACACAGCCCCCTCACCTGCAGTCATGCAGATCCATCACCTGGGCACCATCATCATGCAGAGCCCCTCCCAGGGTCTTCTAAGTGCCACCTGCCCCATTCCCAGACACCCTGTGGCCAACACCCCACAACCTCCCCAGACACCGTGCTCTTATGCCCACCTCCCTGAAGCACTATACCTTGGCCAGGGATCTTACTATGGGACTTTCCATAATGCCTCGAAGGAAGATCAGGTCCAGCTCCGCGGCCCCCGTGGCATTGGGGAGGGATCCCAGGTTGTCCAGGACTTGCTGCATGGCTGGGAAGAAGGGACGGGCAGTGAGACACAGGTACCAGCTGGGCACAGGAGGCCAAAACACACCACAGCAATCCCACCCTCCTGCTCTGTGCGCCACAGAAGACAGCCCCTCTCCAGCAGCAATTCCCTCAATGCCCAGCACCGACACTCCAGGCCCCTGAATGCCTGGGGAAGGGAGGTGGGGGGACGGGGGCAGTTTGCTTGGCCTGTTCTCTAGGCCCTAGGTAATGCCAGCCGGGGCAGGTGGGAGGCTCCTGGAAGCAGAAAATGGACTCGAGGTGCGAGGGGGGAGAAACGGAAGCGGTTGTCAGGTTCCAGGTTCTGTCCTAAACCAGAGAACCACAGATTCCTCACTCAAGCTCGGGATGGGCTGGTCCCGGGACTCAGCCACCTGCACCTAGAGGGCTCAAGGATAAGACAGACAGTACTTGGGGTGTCCCTGAGCGCAGGCCCAGAGTCAAGCAGGCAGCCATGCAGGCGGCCAGAGCCTCTACAGTACCCAGTACCAACAGTATCACTAATTCAGTGTGATTTTTCAAAAGTCACGGTCCCTCACCGGCCTCGGTCTTTCCCTCCTGTAAAACGGGTGGGTGCAACTGTGTCTACAGGCCCTTCAGTTCTGGCAGAGAGTGATCTATCACCATTGAGAGGTTAACAAAGAACACAGAGAGCCAAAGCTGAGGCCCAGAACATTGGCAGGAGCTGGGGAAACGGGCACCCAAGGGCAGAGGTTAGACCAAATCAGCCCAGGGATCAGCAAACCCGCAGCCTGGCGTGGGACATAACAAGGACGTGAGAACACCTGACACTGGGCCACCACAGTGGCTGCTGAGATCTGAGGTAGGGGCTGTCTTCACCCACCCACAGAGGTGGGAGCTCCTGGCTGTGGCAGGTTCTAGGGGGAGGAAGGGAGAAGCAGAATGTGCCCAGCCGGGGGCAGAGATGGGCAGGGGGTATCATTACTCTGCCACCCAGCCACCCACGCCTGCATCTACGTAACAGCACTCAAGCTATGGAGGAGGGGTGGATACAGTCCCTGCCTCCTCTCACCACTCTTATCAGCGCCCCCTCCTCCAGGCAGGAATGGGGACGAGGAGGAGGGGGCTCTGAACTGGAGAAGCAGTCATGGCTCAACGACCCCCTCTTTCCCTCCTCCCCCCCACCTTCTCCAGAAACAGCATCCAAGCCAGCCCTCTAGACCCCTCCTACTCAGGCCCGGGCTTGGCATTGATCAGAGACCTGCAAGGCCTTTAGTGGCCTCGGAAAGAAGCCAGGGTAGGGACTCTTCCCGCTCTGCGAGGGCATCCTGGGATCCACCCTCCCCGGCCATCCTCACGTACAGGCTCACAAGCCTGTCAGCCTTGGAGGAGGACAGAGGCAGGGGAGTTAATGCCCTCTGTCCGGGCCAGCTCTCCTGACAGGCTGTGCCCCCAGACCTTTAGGCTCCTGAGAGCCCGCTCCCAGGACACGCTCTCCAGATGCCCAAACCCCTAGGGAGGAGAGTAGATTAAGGGTCCAGCTTTCCCCCCAGCCTCCCGCCCCGCCTTTCCCTACCTTCCCTCTGGAGATCGGCTTCCTCAGAAGAGCCCAGGGATATACCCTCCAAGGAGGCCCCGCTGCCCGGACTGCCCGCCATGGCTACCCCCCACCCCCGGCTCCGGGGCTCCTGGAGTAGCCTCCACGCAGCCGTGGCTGCCTTCCCTGCCCGAGGAGGGCAGCGCTGGAGGAGGCGGGACTCGGGGAGCGCCCTCTGCAGGATCAGCCAATAGCTAGGCTCAGACTCCCTGCCCGCCCTGCTGATTGGCCAAAGCCCGACTGGAGCAGCCGGGCGGGGAGGGGGCGGTGGTAGGGTGCGAGTGGGGCGGAGGGAAAGGGAGTCCTGGTCTTCCTGGTGCCCGATCACCCCCCACCCGTGTTCGCACCAGCGGGGGTGGGGAGGAGGCGGCAGAGAGGAGGTTTGTGGGGCAGGGGGTTCAGCCTGCTGCCCCTTCACAACTGAGGCGGTGCTCAGAGACCCCTCCTCTCACAGTCCAGCTGCAGGAAACCTAAGGCGGGGTGGGGATTTGGCCCCAGCTTGTTCCCGCCCCCCTTTTCTGGAAGTCTCTTCTCCAATCCACCCAGGCCGCTTCCTCCTCTGGCCCTCAGAGGAGGGCCTTCTCCAGACCCTTCTCCAGACCCAGTATGTATGTTCCTTCTCCAGACCCAGTCTCCTTTACGATGACCCCCTCAGGATCAAAGGAAGCCCCCAAGAATGACTCTCAGTACCAGGGGCACTCTCACTGCCAGGGGCAGTGGCAGTGGCAGTGGCATGGGGCAGATACCCCAAACCCCAAATGCCTCCCCCTACCTGCTAGCCTTGGGGGAGTGGAGGGGGGTGCAGAAGAGGTGTGTGGGGGGGGGGGGGGGGAGGCTGAGGGAGGAGGAGAAAAAAAGGAGGGGAAGGGGGCGCTATTACTGCGGGCAGGGGAGGGTGCCTCAAGCCCTTCTGACCCCACACCTCAGCCGCAGCCTCTCCCTCCCCCATCAGGCATTAGCTTCTCCCCTTAGATTAGGGATGATGCCTGGTGGGCAAGTCAGGCGTCTGGGAAGGGAAAAGTGAAGGTGCATTCTCGCAGCAGGGACACAGGTGGGCAGGAGCAAAGGACTTGGCAGTCACCCCAGCCCAGTGCCTCCATTCCTCTGATACCCTGTACCTATGAGGCCACCTCCAGACACTGCTGCTGCCACCAGCCAGCCAGCCAGCCAGCCAGCCAGCCATTCCCTGAGGAGTGGCACCAGGTCCTAATGCACCCCTGGTTGCCATGGCAGCAGGAGGGATTACACACCAGGACATTAACCCAGGGATGCAAGAGAGATTTAAAGAGACAGCTCCACCTCAAAACAGCCCACATCCCAGCCTCGATTCAAAGACAAGGGGGAGTCAAGTAAAGAGGGAAGAGAGGGTAGGGCTGCAGGTCTGGAGACTCCAGGGGTAAGTTCTCTAAATACCCAGCCCATGCCATAACCCACATATCTCCCAACCCATCCCCAAGGGGGCCCTCCACTCTACTAGAAGTAGAGTTGGATCTCTCTGCGAGAATCCCACTCCACAATGACAATGGCCATGTTGACCCGTGGGGAAGGGTAGGAAGACATTGTTAGCTTCACTGTGCAGATCCCTAGGCTGGGATCTCTCGGGGAAGGGAGTGAGGAGAGGGAGGGTGACCCTGAACTCAGAGGCAGGGGCACTGCTATCTATCAGGCCTGTAGAAAGTGTAATGGCCACAAATGAGAAGAGGCAGATCCATCATTAGATTTTTGAGGCCAGGGGCCAATCCAGCCCGGGGCAGGCAGAGAGGGCTGCCTGCAGGAAGGACCGAGAGGCTCATGGTCTCAGGGTCTCACATCACCTCTTTACAGAAAAGGAAACTCAGGCTCCAAGAGGTTAAGCAGCCTGCTCCTGTCCTCCTTCCTTTGGATGTGGGAAGGCAGAAGTAGCCTATGGCAGAACACCAGGGGATCAGGGTCCCCAGGAGTCCTCAGAGGAAGCAGACTGTACCCATGCCCCTAGACTCCCCTCCCTGCCTGCCCCCCACTGCACCCCCACCATGCCCCCATCAACTGGCCTGCAACAAAGAAGTCAAATTTCCCTCCCTCTACACCCCTTCCAGGCACTATTAATGGGTTTACTGGGCAGCCCCAGATTGAGAGGCCTTTAATCACAGGCTCAGGGATGGGCTTAATTAACTCCCAAGCAGCTTACAGTGGGGCCCAGGCAGACTGGAGCAGAGGGGGAGCAGGCTGGACAGGAGGTGGGGCACTGAGCCCTCCAAGGCTGTCAAAGCTGGGGGACGTTAGTACAGTGCCTCTACTACATGGAGAAAAGGCCTTTCTTCTGGGGACAAGGGTGTCACAGTTTAGGGTCTGGCCTACTCACAGCATCCTTCACTTTCCTGGCTCACTTTCCCAGAGGAGAGGGACAGGGGAGTCGTTCTAACCAAATTGGGAGGCCTGGAATGTCTTGCAGAGGCAAGGGAAGGGGCTGCATGGACAGGAGGTCAGATAGAGCAGATTACAGTGTGAGGGCCCCTAGCCTCGAGCATAGGGAACTTCACCTGGTGGGCCCCTGAATGCACAAGGGGGTCCATGAACCCCTGGGGTAGAATGCAGATTTTGTACATAGAAGCATTGGTCTATGATGAGGGCCCACAGCTGTCATCAGATTCTCACAAAGGGATTCAGGACCAAGAAAAGTTAAGAACACTTCTCCCGTCCAATCGCCTCATGTTACAGACGGGAAAACCTAGGTCCTAAACAGGACTCAAGGTCACAGCCTAATTGAGGTAATAACCCAGCAGCACAGCATAACAACTGTGAATAGTCCTATGATGGAAATATCATCATAGCCTTTGAATTTCACATCAACCTCTTGATAGAAGAGGAGACGCAGGCCCCAAGAGGTTAAGTAATTTGCTCCTGAGGCTTCCGAGCTCATCTGGGCGGCTCACTCCCTTGCCCTAAAACCTCTTACAGAACCAGGTCCAGGCTTCCTGAACTGGCATTCCCCACACACAGGTCCTTACGTCCCAGCACACATAGACGCACATGTCGCTGGCACATGCTGGTTTACTCCACCTGTCTGGTGGGCACCGCACTGTGGACTTCTCAGCCCCAGGCTGTTCTGCTATAGTCCCTCTACTCCCAAGCCATCCTCCAAGGGCCAGCTCCTAAGGGCCACCTCCCCAACCAGCCTGGCCCCGTGCCATTGCCCTCCAGCAATACTGTAGATCGTCTCCGGAGCGCACAAGTCCCTGCCCTCCACGGAGGTGAGCTGTGCCACGTCTCTAGCCCCACCCTGGGGCAGACGCAGCAGGGCCATAGAAGCAGCTGGAAGGAAAGGCTGAGTGGCAGGATGGAGCAGCAGGGGGGGCCAGTTTATCCTTAGAGGTAGCCAGGTAGCCGTGGACGTGCCCGACTGCTGCTCTCCAACCCCAAGCCCTTGCCTGGCACTCTCTGAACCACTGATACAAACGGACATCCTCAGCCCCTTCTTACCAGACTCAGAGTTGGTGGCAGCAACTGGCATGGTGAGGTCTGCAAGGGCTCTGCAGTGTCTCTCCTGGAGGAAGGGAGGAAATCGAATGAGAAGGAACAATGGCACAGCAACGGGGAAGGAACGGCGGTGGGGGGGGGAGAGGGGGTTCCCCTCAGGATCAGGGCATTACCCAGAGACTATATGATCCCACAGGAAGGCAGGAAGAGCACGTATTACATGCCCATCCCTCCAAGGAGGAGGAGATGAAGGATCAGAGAGGTTCGTTGCTTTGCCTAAGGTCACAGAGCTAATATAGAGAGCTACAATGAACACCCGGGATTTTAACTGTTTCTGTCTGCCATCTGTCCTTTATTCATTTATTTTTTTTTTGAGGGGGGAGGGTAAGAGTCCAGAATTTGAGGCAAAAGCAGGAAAGATGGGCATTCCCAGGCTGTAAGCTGCGTGACGTCAAGAACTACACCTGTTTTATTTTGCTTCTGGAACCTAGACGTAGCCAGTGGAGATGCTCTACAATCGTTCGTCTGTCTGGCCGACAGAAATGAAGTCATGCCTTCCCAAGCCCTCTCTGACTTCCTCTTTCTCCCTTTGCCTCTTTTTAGCCCAGAGCTGGGGCAAGTAAAGCAGTGGGCTCCCCAGTCTCCAGTGGGGGGCAGGGTGTGTGCAAGGGAGCCACCCACTACCTTTTCCTCCCTTCGCCTTCCTGGGCACTTGCTGCTGGTGAAAACCCTAATTCCCAGTTGCCGTGACAACTAGAGGCAGCGAGTGGCTCCCAGCAGGGGTGGGGGAGAGGAGGGAAGCAGCTGGCAGTGCCCACTTTAGGACTGAATGCCTGCTGGGTCCTGGGCGTAGGGAGCCACACCTTCACCTCCCCCTAAAAAAAGGACTCTCCCCAGAGGGACCAATACCAGATTTTAATACAACCCTCCCTGGTCCCGTGCCTGCCACCCCCAGGCCAGAGCTGGTCACCTGAGCTCAGGTAGCAGAAATTACAAAGACTCGGGGAAGACTTCGCTTCCTCCTGGATCTGCCCCTTAAAGACATGGAAGAAAGGAGTTTTAGGGGAGAAGAAGGGCACCGCCCCCCGCCCCTGAGGTTAGCACCCAGGCTGGGAGAAATGCCCAGCATCTACTGTGCCAGCCAGTGCCCCCACGCCAACCCCTGCTGTCCGGATTCCTTCCCTCCTCCCCCATCCAAAGTCCTGACCACCTGGAACCTGGGGCATTCTCCTGGCTGGTGCCGTTCTCCCCGACAGTTATTGGCAGAGGGGACTCCAGACATCTTCCTTCCTTAGAGAGCGGAAGGTGAGAAGAGGCAGGGAGGATCCTGTCCCCTGGAGTCTTGCCCAGCCTGCCTGGGTTTTTCTCTGGGTAATCCGTTCCCACAGCATCGGCTAGCTCTTCCCCACCCCCACCCAGGCCTCTGAGAGGGCGGGGCCTGGCTTGTGCCCACATGAGAACAGCAGTGCCAGGCAAGCCAAGCTGGCTCTGGGCCAAGGTCCGGGGCCCAGGCTTCTGGGAACGCGCTCCTCGGCTTCCAAAAGCCTGCACCTAGGTGTCCTCTCACCCCTACCTCCAGACCATCCACACCACCCAGGGTCAGTA